TTTGCTTTGGCTTCAGTTTTGGGAGGGGCAGGGGCTTCCTTCTTCGCTTTTGGCACCATCTTCATAGAAAAGACAAGTTAAATCTTTTGAAGTATGTAACACTAGAATATTTAACTAACCTCAGGAGTTAAGATGTGCTTTTTAGTCATGCGAACAGTATCGTGAAACATAAATCCATGTTAAAATCTACCACCAGCTTTTGGCATTAAGTCACTCAGGAAACACAATTTAGGAAGTAGCTATTTTTGTTTCTACTTAAATTACAGAAATACATAAAATATTGTTATATGCACCTCAAATTTGAAATTTCTTGCTAAGTCTAATTAAGAATAAGGAGATGAGGCACTGCCTTTTGATGGATAGAGTTTATTAGAGAGAAAAGACTCATGGAGGAATCGGAGCAGGCTGCAGCAAGAACTTTGTCAAGTCTCCATCTACACTGAGAGGATCAAAGTGGTGGGATTTTATCTTAATGCTAATAAAGTTTTATATAGTCATTGATTGGGAGTTTTCTAGGAACTGAACTTGACTCATCTAGGTGAGATTCTGGAAATGAGATGCATGCACATTCAGTCTTTTCTTGATGAGTTCCATCTCGGCTTCTGGGCCAGTGAACATTACTTTTTATAAGGTGGTACACATGCTTAGTTTTTGTGGGCGCTAGTTCCAGTCCTGTCCCAGAAGAGGGCTCTCTGCTGCCTCTTGAGGAAGGTCATATAGTGGACAGAGGATGGTGAACTGTGCATGCTTATGGAATCTGCACAAGCAGACTGTGCCTGGAAAGCAACTTCACAGAAACTAAGTGCTCACTGCAAGAGGGTGTGCCTTTTTGTTTTTCTGTCCTAACACCGGTGCCACACTGAGATCTGGCCCTGGCTGTTCTTTCTCAGTATATTTATCATCTGTCCATCTACTTCTTTTCATTGTTTAGGCTAATTTTGCCACCTAAATTAATTCAAACTATAATAAAGTCAATAAATAAATAAATGTTCTCCCTGATAATGATTTTATAAACATTTTGTGAAAGATAATCTGCTGGCAATTCACAGAGTCCTTGCCCTAAAGATCTGGCTCTCACCAGGACTTTCCCTCTCTGGAGAGAAATGAGACCAGTGTTTTTCTTTACCTCTGACCCACTCCTTTCATTCTTTTCTAAATGTTTCTGTTACTTGCCTTTCTTTACTTGGTACGAGAATAACTTGCTCCTTATTCTGCCTTAGATCAGCTCATAATGCTTTTGACCTCATTCTCCTAATTCCCTTTAAGTCTGGGTTCCATCAGTCAATCAGTTGTCTCTCTCTCTCTCTTTCCCTCCCTCCCTCCCCTGCACCTGTTGTTATTCTTAAATGTTTGTTTTCTCTCCGTCCTCTCAACTGATATATGTAAGTTATGCTATGTACTTAACAGAAGGACAACTAAATGTCTCTTGGAGAAAATTCAGCCAGAATGTTCCTTAGACATGAGGATGATAAAACTTTGTCTCACATAATTTGAACAACATCTCAGGAAAGGCCAGTCCTTAGAGAAGGACATCATGCTTGATAAATGAAAAGTCATTGAAAAAGAGGAAGATTCGCAGTAAGATGGGATGATACAATAGCTGGAACAGTGATTGTAAGGGTGATCAAGGTGTACATGAATTCTCTTTGTATCACTACTCTGTATTTTGGCTTCAGACAGTCAGTCCTAACTGCCCGACCCAAGAGGTATTTTAAAAATTCTTTCATTATTAGGTCTATTGACTGAGTCTGATCCTGTTGACCATCCCATCCTTTTTGAGATTGGTCCATTATTTTTACTTTTTTGACACTTGTCTCTTACAATTTTTGTTCCCCAACCTTCATAAATTCCTTTCATTTTGTCACCTCAATACTGACATTTATCAAGACCATGACCTTAACTTATTTTCTGTTGTATACAAACTTTGTTTAGGAGCTTGAAATCCACTTAAATGGATTTATAGGTTGTTGGCTCATAAATCATCAAGGTTCAGGCTACCTTCAGATGGGCTTTTTTATTTTCAGTAAATCCCAGCAGGTTTTGTTCCTCCTTCTCTGTACTCTTAATTAGTTGGGACTGTCAGAATTATTAAACTAGAAACCTAATGGTTAGCCTTATTGTGTTTCACTACTCATAGCCTATTATCTACTTATACTTTAATTTAATTTGTATATCTAATTTCTTGAGTGCACTCCTTCTTTTCTGACCTTGTTACTGTTGACCTAGCTAAGACACTCATCATCATTTTCCCAGTTTCCTAATTGTTCCCCTTAGTGAGTTCTAGGGTTTAGTGATAAGGAGTTGCAGCTGCCATCCAAAGCGCTCAGTTCAAACCTGCCACCTGCTCTGTCGGAGAAGGATCTTTTCCCTTGCTTCCTGCAGATTCTGCACTCTAATTCACTTAGCCCTGCAGTTATTTTTGTGTGCCATCAAGTTTTAACCAACTTATAGGTGACCCTTCAGTAAGTTTTCAGAAGCAGTTAATTGCACAGGAAGAGATTACCCATTCTCCTCCCAAGGAGCACCTGGTAGATTCGAAACGTGCTTTTTTGGTTTGCTGTGCAGCTTCTTACCACTAGGCCAGCAGAACTGGATTTAAATGAGGGCATGGCACCAGGGATATGATTGTGCTGATGTCAGGTGGGTCCTAGCCAAAAGCAGAGAATACCAGAAGAATGTCTGTTTATGTTTTATTGACTATGCAGAGGCTTTTGACTGCGTGGATCATGACAAGCTGTGGCTAACATTGAGAAGAATATGAATCCCAGAGCACTTAATTATGCTCATGTCAATCTAGTCCTAGACCAAGAGGTTGTTGTCTGAATAGAACAAGGGAACACTGTTGTTGTTCTTAAGTGCCATTGAGTTGCAGGCGACTCATACCGACCCTGTGAAGGAGAGTCCTCAATGCTTGGGTGTCTTTCATCCTCTCTCCAGGTTCATGGGGTTTCTGGAGGCAAGCTGTTACGGAAGTGGATGCCACTCCTGATTTCAAGCTTGTTTTAATCGGGGAGCTCCACCCCACACTGTCTGCATTGGGCAAGCAACCATTAACGCATTTGACACATCAGTGTCACGGTATTCAGCCTCACAGCTGCCACAAGTGACCTGTGTACAGCAACTTGTACACCAGGGCTATACGACCTACAGGAATGTCTGAACAAAAACAATGAAATACAGGCCCGAAGGCCGCGGATTAAAAGACACCCACCTTTGGCTTGTTAGCATTGCTTTCTGTCCACTGGGCCAGCTGATCTCTCTCTATGTACTTGGTTTAAAATCAGGACAGGTGTGTGTCAGGGTTGTATCCTTTCTCCTTACCTCATCAATCTGTATGCTGAGCACATCATCTGAGAAGCTGGACTCTAGAAGAATGTAACATTAGAATCAGAGGGGAAGACGTCAGCAGCCTGCATTATACATATGACACAACCTTGATTGGGCTAAGTAATAAGAATTGAAGCACTTGCTGGAGAAGATCAAAGACTACAACTTTCAAGATGGATTATATTTCATTGTCAAGAAAACAGAACTTCTCACCACCAGAGTGATAGAGAACATCACAATAGATGGAGAAAAAAAATGGAAATTATTAATGATTTCATTTTACTTGGATACACGTGGAATTAGCAGTTGGATCAGGAGACATATTGCACTGGGAAAGTATAGTAAGGGACTTCTCCAATTTACTGAGGAGCAATGTTGTAAGTCTGATGACTAATGTGCACCTTCAGGCAATGGTCTTTTCAATCACTTGCTATGCATCTGAGAGCTGGACAATGAATAAGCATAACAAAAGAAGAATTAATGCTTTTGAGTTTTGGTGTTGCAATACTGAATATCACAGGAGTGCCAAAAGAACAAATAGATATCTTGGAGAAAGTCTAGTCGTAGTGCTCCTTAGAGGCAAAGATACCGAACTTCTTCTGACGTACTTGGGGCATGTTGTTAGGAGTGGCTATTCCTTGGAGAAGGAATAGTTTCATGCTTGGAAATGTGGAGGGTTGGTGAACGAGAAGAAGACACCCAATCAGATGATGACTACATTGACACTGACTACTCCATTGAGCACAAATAATGAAATGGCACAGGATAGGACAAGGGTCACATCTTTTTTGTTCATAGGGTCATTATAAATTGTACTTCACCTACCACTACCACCACCACCAACCACCCTGCTGCTTCTGGGAAACCATTTAATGATTCACTTTTGCTATCTGGATAATTTTCATGTATTCTTAATAAGTCCTGCCATAAAGTAATTGATGGAAGGGAGTACACAGAGTCCCTGTACCAAAAGGAATTGGCTGACAGACACAGAAGAATTTCATGAAACAGCAACATACTATCAAGAGGCACTGGTGATGGAGGAGGAAGTTCAAGCTGCTGTGAAGAAACTGGCAAAAAAATAAGGCTCCAGGAATTGATGGAATACCAGTGGAAATATTTCAACAAACAGATACTGCCCTGGATGTGCTAACCAGGTTGCGCCAAGAAATCTGGAGAACAACTACCTGACCAAGTGACTAGAAGAGATCCATATTTATTCCCATTCCCAAATAAGGTGATCCCACAGATGGTAGAAATTGTTGAACAGTATCACTAATAGCACATGCAAGAAAAATCTTGCTGAAGATTATCCAAAAATGATTGGAAAAGTAGAAGTTAGAACTGCCAGAAATAAAAGCTGGGATTAGAAGAGGCCGTGACATTAAGGACATCATTACCAAGGTCAGATGGATTTTGGCTAAAAGCAGAGAGTCCCAGAGGAATGTCTATTTGTGTTTTATTGACTATGCTAAGGGCATATCACAACAAATTGTGGCTAAAAGTGAGAAGAATGGGGACCCCAGAACACTTAATTGTGTTCATGGGAAGCCTTTATACTTAGATGAGAAAGCAGTTGTCTGAACAGACCAAGGAAACACTGCATGGTTCAAAATCAAAGGAAGAAGTGTGTTAGGCATGTCTTTTCCCCATATTTTTTCAATCTGTATGCATATAGATAATTTGGGAGGCTGGATATTGTGAAGAGAAATATGGCGTCAGGATTGGAGGAAGACTCATCAACAACTTATGTAATGCACTACCTTGCTTGCTGAAACTTAAGAGGACCTGAAGCTTTGCTGCAGAAGGTAAAGACTAGTCTTCCATATGGATTGCAGCTCAACATCAGGAAATTGGCAGTTTGACAATTGGCAGCATCATGATAGACGGATGGAGAAGTGATTGAGATTGTAAACCATGTTAGCTTGCTCAGTTCCACAGTCAGCACTCCTGGCACCAGCATGAATTGCATTGGGAAAGTTTGCTGTCAGGGACCTCTCCAGAGTGCTGGAGAGCAACAATGCCAGTCTAAGGTGTATCTGATCCAGGCCATGGTTTTCACAACTATTTGCTATGCATCAGAGAGCTTGACAGTGACTAATGATGGCAAAAGAATCAATGCCTTTGTGTTGTGGTGCTGGAGAAGATATTGAACATACCATGGGCTGCCAAGAGAACAAACAGGTCTCTCCTGGAGAGGGTGAAACCAGTTTGCTCTGTGGAGGCTAGGAGTTTGAAGCTTTGTCTTACATACTTTGGGCATATGGCCAGGAGAGACCAGTCCTTGGAGAAGGACATCATGCTTGGAAGGGTAGAAGGTCATTCAAGAGAGGAAGAACTTGGATATGATGGATTGACACAATGACTATGGTAATAGGGGCAGGTGTATCAGACAGTGAGATTGGCTTTGGATAGGGCAAGGTTCAGAGCTATGAGTCATAGTCTACTCAATGGCACGTAATAGTAACAGCAGACAACAATTCACTCTTGTTTCAAACACTGAGTTTTTAATTTTCTTCATGTACCACACTACATTTTTCTTCTGTGATTTTGTTGGTTCTACCTCCTTTACCAGAGATGTCTTCTCTTTATGCATGGTCTGGTCAGCTACTGTATACTGTAGGCTCAGCCGTCTCCGAACAGCTTTTACATCATCCTACTTAGTCTCCTTGGGTGTTGGTGTCTATCACTATTGTACTGATTCCTTTGTCTTCTAACCACATTGGCTACTACCAGCTTTTGTGGACAAGGATTGTATAGCGTCTTAATCATGCCTGTGACTCCAGCTTCTAGCATAAGGCCAACACACACTGTGTCTTTTTGATACATGTTTGAGAGGAGATGAGACATTGATATCAATGACATTTTCAGACCTAACATCTCTGAGTCATCTTGAAAGACCTACCTATTAGAGTCATTGTGAGGATTAATGATGTATTAGAGGTTCCAGTTTGTCTTTTAACGTGAGACTGTACAAAGAGTCATCCGCCCCATCCATATCTCAGTAATTGCTGTTTGAGAATTTGAGGGTTTCTGTAGGGTTCAGGTGATGCCTCTAAAGGATGTCAGAGGCTTCTTGTTCCCTGGAATGACTTCATTCAGAATAGAAGAGAATAAATGGCCCAAGGGAGGTGTATCCAAGGTGTTGAGAGAGGTCAGAGGAGAGAAGGGTCTTTCTGTTTACTTCCTGAGGGAATATAAGGTTTGGTTTCTCTGAAGGTAAATAAAATGAAAATAGTTTGTTGTTAACATGCTTTTTAAAAATCCAAACAATAAGAAGAAGGAGGAAGGAACGTTCTCATTTTAAGGAGAAAAACAAATATTATTCTTAATATTTTAGGTACTTCATTGGTATTTTTCCACACCTAAGTTTAGTTATTTCAGACTTAGAAAAAAAGAATGTAAACTAGAAATCATGTTTTATTGTGTTATCAAGTGTTTTTGTTTTCTCAGAGATTGAAATCCATATGTGACTTGCTTTTTTTCTCCTGTGTCTTCTTGCTGTCTGGTTTAGATCCTTCTGTTCTCCGAGGTCCCCTGCTTGGCCACACTGACGCAGTCTGGGGTCTGGCCTACAGTGCAGCACATCAACGTTTACTGTCTTGTTCAGCAGATGGCACGCTCCGTTTATGGAGTACAACTGAGGTTGCTCCAGCCCTAAGTGTATTTAATGATAATCAAGGTACATGTTTTATTACTGTTTTACAGAATCTCTTATGTCTTCTATTAATAACTAGTTCTATGAATTCTGTTTACTTTTTAATTGAAGGTTTTTTTTATTTTTATTTTTTTAAATTAAATTTTATTAGTTTTAATGAACATTTACAGAGATTTTGGGTTTTCATTCATTCATTTTTGCACTGTTTTCTCCACCCTCATCCCCAGTTCGTTCTTCTTTCCCCCCCTGCCCCAATGTCTGTTTTAATTGTCCAATTGCCACAGTGCTTGTCAAAGCCAGTTCTGATTAATCTCCTTTGTCGGTGTGTCCTTTGCCATTCCCTATCACTCCTCCCTGAGAGAGACTTCACCCTGATTCATAAGGAAAAGGGGACGGCGTATTCTCTTAGCTACTTCCTGCTGAAAAGGGACGCTGTGGGTTTCAGGGTGATGAAGTTTTTTTTTAAAGCTAGGAAAGCAGCTTTGAATTTCCAAATTATTGGATAATTGTAAAATTGTATTTGCTTAAAGTATATATATTTTTTTCTTAATTGAGGTATAATTTATGTGTTGTGGAAAACCGAGATCTTGCATGTACATTTCAGTGAGTTTGATAAATAAATACCTGACTTGTGATGGTAACAGAAGATTTCTTTTACTGCCCCACATTCCTACTGACACCTGTCTTCCTTGCTATTCTTCCTCCCCAACTGCAAGTGTCCATTATTGTGATACCTTTCAGTGTAGATTGGTTTTATCAGTTTTACAACTTTGTAAAAAACAAAACAAACCCCAAAACTGTGTAAAAAAAAAACCCACAAAAACACAAACCCACAACAATTAAACCAGTATTTTTTGTATCTGGTTTTGTATTCTCACCGTAATATTTTCACAGAGCTCTGGTGGCTGAATAGTAATGGGCTGTGCTGCCAATCCAAATTCAAATCCACCAGCTGCTCCATGGGAAAAGGATGGTTAGTCTCCAGTGCCGTTTACAGGTTTTGACAACCCACTGAAGGGTCAGCTTTGGGTTGATTCTGATTTGACTGCACTTAGAACATCATGTTTTACAATTTGGACATATTTTAAGGAGGGAGACATCATGCTTGGTAGGGTAGAGGGACAGCACAGGAGGGGAAGGCCCTCTATGAGGTGGATTGATTCAGTGACTGGGATAATTGGGATGGGTGTATCGGAGGCAGTGTGATTGGCACAGGACAGAACAGAGTTTAGGGCTGTTGTACATAGGGTCGCTATGAGTCGCAAGCGACTCAACGGCACATAACAACGTAACATGTTGTGGATATTGATGATTCATTTCTCATTATTATTTAATAATATATATCCTACTGTATGAATAAATCAGACCTTGCTTATTCAGTTTTTTCTTGGTGGATGTTTTGTTTCCAGTTTTTTGCTATTCTAAATCAGACTGTTAAGAACATTCATATATTTTTATTAATAATGAGTAAAATTAAAATTACTGAGACTCAGAGTAGGTATTTATTTATAGTACGTGACAGTATAAAACCTGGCTGTGTCATTTTATACCACTGCCAGTAAGGTATATGAGGGTTACAGTGACGATGCATCCTTACCATCACTTAGTGTTGTCAGCATACTTAATTGTACACATTCTGGTTTTAATTTGTATTTTCTTAGTACTAATTATGTTGAATGATTTTTTTAAAAAATGTACTTAGTAAGCTGTTCATTGACTTCTCCTATTCTGGTTGGTAAATTTATGATTTTCTTATATTGCTATTAAAATGAACTTCACACTGTGAATTCATTAACTAAGTAATAGACAGATCTGTTATGTTCTTAATCATAAAATTGCCTAGGATTAAAAGTAATAAAGGAAATAGTCTCTGTTGAATGATTTTAGACTATTGATTCATGCCACTTTTTATTTTGCTGTATTATAAGCACATTGGTCATCTGTCTCCTCTAATTAAAGTTTTCTTTGACTATGTTCTGATCTTTTAGATTTGGGAATCCCAGCCTCTGTGGATCTAGTGAGCAGTGAACCCAGCCATATGGTAGCGTCATTCAGCAAAGGATACACAAGCATCTTTAACATGGAAACACAGCAACGCATTCTCACTTTAGAATCCAACCTGGATACATGTATGTACACTAGTTTTAAATAGTCTATTTTTTTTTCTATTTTTCATTTCTCATAATTTAAAAAATTTTTCTAATAAATTTGACAAAACTTGATACTTATTAAAATATAGATCAAGTATACAGTTTTAGAACCCCAAATCAGAAACTTTTTATTGGCTGTAGAAAGTCAGAAATAAATGCCTTTACTGATTGTGAAAAGGGCATGATGGAGTCTTTTTAGGTTTTGGTTGTTGTTTTTTTTTTAAATTTTTATTGTATTATTTTTTACGTGTACCGTCAAATCAGATCTGACTGGTACAGGAGGAGATTACCCCCTCCTTCTCCAGCAGAGCATCTGGTGGATTTGAACCGTGTACCTCTGGGATTGGTCTTTTTAGTTTTTACAGGATGTTTTAATCATTATTGCTTTCTGTCTTTAGCCCTAATCCACACTATAGTTTGAAAATGATATAATACCACATACATGTGATGTTAGCTGCTGCAGCTCTTGCTTCATGGCAGCACTGGGGAGCTGCTGCTTTGAAAAGTAAAATAAAAATTCTTTAATTGTTATACAATCCCTCCCCACAAGTCCATTATGTAGCCTTTGTTCTGGACTCCTGTCATGACAATAATACCCAATCAATACCTTTTAAACAGTTTTCTCCCTCATCTGTTTCAATGCAGTATACATTATTTATCCCCTCTTTCTCAGTGTTCCCTGAACCCCTATGTCAGTCTTCTTTTATAACAGTGGCATTTTTTTTTACACTTTTGGTTAAACTAATCATAGTAAGAGAATATCCCTCCTTTTTTTTTATTTGTTTTGTGTCAATTGAAAATATACAAAATATACTTCAAAATGATGTCACCAGTGGTTTGAGAAAGTAAAAGGTTGTTGAAGTGGGTAATTGGATACTTATAAACTCAGTGAAGAGGCAAATTGTGAATCACAGGCTGATTATGAACGTCATAGGTTTGTTTTAGATTTGTTAGAAAGATTGATGCCGTGCATTGACTTTATTTCTCATGTTCTTTGCATTTTGCATGCTTGTCTGATTTACCGTCAAGTACATATGCTTTCTTAAAATATTACAGATAAGTGTCTTTTTCTTGCTTCTATTACGTGATTCCTGTCGTATTAATTATTCTAGATTTTGGAATAATGGAAACTATTCTTAGGAATATTTAATGGAGTATTTGGAATATCTTTTTCAAAATGTCAAAATGTTTCTCTTTTGTTATTATTCTCTAGTATTAGACCTTGAAGATGACATTGTTAAATGTTGTGTTAGTCTGAACACTGAAACTAAATATCTGCCTGTTTAGGCTCTTCTGAGTTGCATATAAGCAAGAATTTACATCGTTACATACTTAGTAATAGTTGAGTACCCGTCTGCCAATAACACTGGAAAAAGATTCTCTTCCATTTGTAAGATGTCATAGAACCATCATAAAAATGCAATAAAACTAGTTTAAAAATAGTGTAGATCTGCCTGTTGCTTATAAATATTTTCTAATATAGCATTACAAAATTATGTTTACTTGAGGATTTGTAAAGGTTTCAAGGTTTTTAAGACATAATTTAAAATTAACCAGAAAGTTGCAAAAATGGTCCAGGAACATCTGGCCACCATTTTATCTAGATCTTCTAATTTTTATCCTTGATTTGATATTATTTCTGAGTTTATCTGGTCATTAAGTTTCAGTGTATCAAATCTATTCTTGAGATGGTTTTAAAATTCATGTGGGATGCACTCAAGGGTATATTTTGGTTTTTATAGACTTGTTTAATTTTTTTCAACTTCGTTTTGAAGTTGCACATGAGTAATTAATTATGAGCAAATAATTCAAGAAACTGGAATATATAAAGAATGTGGCATCAGGATTGGAAAAGGACTCATCCAAACTTGTGGTATGCCAATTACACAACCTTGCATGTAGAAAATGAAGAGGACTTGAAGCATTTGCAGTAGAAGATTGGAGATTACATCTCAATAACAAAAACCAAAGTACTCACCACTGGGCCAATAGGCTGCATTATAATAGATGGAGAAAAGATTGAAGTTGTCAGTGATTACATTTTACTTGGATCCACAATTGACATTCACGCTAGAAGCAGCATAAAAATTGAAAGACATGTTACACTGGGCAAGTCTGCTCTCAATAGCCACTCCAGAGTGCTGAAAAGTGATGTAATTTTAAAGACTAGGTGCATCTGATCCCAGGCATGTTATTTTCAATTTCTGTGCATCTGAACATTGGACAGTGAATAAGGACGACAGATGAATCAATACCTTTGAACTATGGTGTTGGAGAAGAGTATGGAATAAGCCATGGACTGCCACAAAAACCAAAGTCTGTCCTGGATGAACTGTAACCAGGATACTCCATAGAGGCCAGGATAAGGATAGTCAGAGTTCATCACACACACTGTACTTCATCGTATGTTGTCAAGAGGAACCAGTCATTGGAAAGAGACTTCATTCTAGAAAAGGTAGAGGGTCAGAGAGGAAGACCCTCAACAAGATGGATTGACACAGTGACTGTAACAGTGGACTATAACAGATGGTGAGGATGACGCAGAATAGGCCAAGGTTCAGATCTCTTGTTCACATGGGTGCTAGTAGTTGTAGTTGACTTGATGACACCTAACAACAACCGTAACCAGTTTTTAACATTTTGTAATATTTATCACTGTCTGTGTATCTGTAAATTTGAGAGACATTATACTCCTGTGCTCTTTAGCATATATTTTAACTTCCTAAGAATAATCTCTTGCATAGCACAGTGCAGTTGTAACAACGAGAAATTTAACATTGACAAAATAGTGTTGCCTTAACATACAATGCATACTCATATTTTCCACTTTTTCCAATCATGCCTTTTGTAAGGACAATCTTTGCAAACACTCGGCCTTTCTGTAATGCATTTTTAAAACTTTGATATATATTAAAGTAGTATTATAATTATATAGGCAGACCTTGACTTAAGGTGGGGTTCTTTTATGATGAGTACATTATAAATTGGTTATGACATAAATAGAATACCTTATTTTTTAAAAAAAAATTAAATTTTTGGCTTTTATTACCTATTTCTTTATAAATGATAATATTAAACATTTACAAATGGTATCTACAATAATATGATCTGTACTCTACATAATATACTACAATATTGTATGTAGTAATAAGTACCAAAAAATCCTCCCCCCAAATAATAAGTGTGGTTTGTTATGTCTCCAGTCTGTTGTAAGTCAGAGACTACTTGTACATTTTCCTTTTTTCTTACAAGTATATCTTAACAAAAATCTCTGGTTAAGCTTGAATTATTTATTGACTTCTTGAGAAAAGTTAGGTAGACTTGTGATAGTTTAGGAACTGTTGGCGATGACTGATGGGGCAGCGGTGTTCAGTTCAGTGTCCCTCATGCACAGATACCACATACGTGTCACTGGAGCCTCCGGTGTTGCTTGATGGTAAGCAGGTGTCAGCAGAGTAGGACTGACCAGATGTTTCTGAAAACGAGCCATTGCAAACCCTGTGGCGTATGACGGTCTCATTTTGCTGTGTGTGGGATCTCCAGGCATTGGAACTGACTTTAGCAACTGACAGCAGCAAGACCATTTTGTTGGAATAGAAATGCAGAGTTAGCAGGTTGGGGTTGTTTTTTTTCTTTAAAAAAAAACAAACAACACCTTGATTTGTGGAAACCAAAAATGTTTTTCTGGATTTTGAGTCATTCACTATGCTGTGGACCTAATGATACATTGCCTGCATGCCTTATTGTGCACATTCTTGAACTCTCTTTGAAAGCTTTAATAGCTGTTAAATGCTGTATTAAAAAATAAGATACCAAGAATTCTGGTAGTTATGTATTTGGTTGCTAACTGGAACATCAGTGGTTTAAGCCTACCAGCCACTTTGAAAAAAAATATGTGGCAGTCTGCGTTCGTGTAGATTATAGCCTTTGGGACACTGTTCTGTTCTGTCCTGTCAGGTAGTGGTGAGTTGCAGTCAATTCAGGGGCTTTGTATTGGGTTTGATATATTAGGATGCTGAATATTGTAAATTTCTAAACTGTTGGACTGTTTAAAGGTTAAGAAGCTGTCTTTGTCATATTATCTTTAGGTAATGACTGTAGACAAGATTTAAATTTGAGGATTACCTATATATATATAAGCTCTAGTGGGTCTTTATTAAAGTAGCAAAATATCACAGAACATTGGAGAATGAGAAATGGTTCTCATTTCTTAACACTGAAATTATGCAAATACAGAATAAATGAACTAAAGATAAAGTCACGTCATTTACTTTTTCAGCCTGCTAAGCAAGTATTCATTTCTCTTTTATGTGAAGAAATAACAGCTTTACTCATTTGTAACTCTATTATTTTCTAGCATCCACTACTTCCTGCCAAATTAATCGAGTCATCAGTCACCCTACTCTTCCTATCAGCATCACAGCTCATGAAGACAGACACATCAAATTCTTTGATAACAACACAGGTAAGACTTTATTTAAAAATGTTTTCTTGTTAACTGAAAACCATTACAACAATAAGTAAGCTAGTTTGGTGATTCTTGATAGCTTCATGGTAACAGTTTAACAAGTTGTGTTCATTCCAACCAAAAACATAAAGTGAGACTCAAGTGTCTTTCTAGTAAAGGCAGGAGGGAGGAGGCACATGATGCTTTAGCTGGTGGGAAAAGCTGCTGCTGATGCAGTAAGTACACAGAGTGAAGTGATTTAGAAAAACCACTGTAAAGGAGTAACTGCCATCTTTTCAGAAAGAGGAAGGTCATTAGCAAGAAAGAATACTCTTTTATTATTTTTCCCCTCTTTTACCCCAAAGGCAAATTGATCCATTCAATGGTGGCCCACCTAGAAGCTGTTACAAGTTTAGCAGTTGATCCAAATGGCCTATATTTAATGTCTGGAAGTAAGTACATCAGCTATCTTTTATTTCTTTTTCTTTTTCATTTTCATGTTAATATAATTTCTCCTTTCTTTTTCGTATAGGTCATGACTGTTCAATACGTTTGTGGAACCTAGAAAGTAAAACATGTATCCAAGAGTTCACAGCCCACCGGAAAAAATTTGAAGAATCAATTCATGATGTAGCTTTTCACCCATCTAAATGCTATATAGCCAGTGCTGGAGCTGATGCACTAGCTAAAGTCTTTGTATGACACAATACATCATCTTTACCTTCTAGCTCTTTTAAATAATCAACTGCACAAAGAGATACAGAAGACCAGGGCAAGCATCAACTCGTCCTACCCTTTTGTTTGGCCGAAGGAGCACAGAACATTTGTTTAAAATATAGTTTTGCAATTCATATACTGTTTTTTAAAACTAAGATTTGTTCAGGTAGCTGCAAAGCTCAGCTGAATCTATGAGCCTGAAAACTGTTTCAAATTTCCCCCCCAATAGGCGCTTTTATCTGAGGTGGCCCAAAATCCCAAGGCTAGCCTGAGCGAACACCAAGTTTTGTGTGTCCCTGCTAATCGATTTAGTATTCTGTATCAAGACCTTGATGGCTGGGGGTGAAGAGAGGAAGAACAGGACTTTATCCCCTGAGAATCTTGTGAAACATAATAGGTAGTTAACACAGTAATCTACCATTTCTGCTGTACTAACCTCCCCTTTGGCCTAATGATCAGGCTGTGTTAAATGAATTTTTATTTCGCTCCTCTCAGCTGTTCCCATAATGTAACTGGCAAAGCATTTACCTATTGGGGGGGGGGGAACGACGACTGCAATAATATGTTAAATATATTACTATTCAGAAATGCTAAACAAATACTTAGTTTTCAGGCAGATTTCTATATTATATTACATTACATTTTTGACAATAGATTTGGTACCATTCTAAAGTTTAGCTGTCACATACTCACCAATAGTTGACATAGCCTGCATCTACTAAAAAATTTAACTTATTCAGGTTTGAGATTCTGTTTACGGACAAGCAGGGCATCTCTCTTTAATTTCTATTAGTTTTAAATTTCACTTTTGTTCATGTTCTATTTATAGTATCAGAGTGATTATATCCTACCAGTGAAATCTTAAGCTTTTGATTGAAAGGAAAAAAAAAACCCAACTCAAGTTATTTCCTGTTTTGTTATCACTACCCATATGGCCAAACTTCAGATGATCTGTTTTTTTCTTATCTCTCACATTCATGCTATGTGGAACCAGCCAGAATTAGTTCATAATACTTTGTTTTACCAGTCCAAAGAGTAAGATTATCCTTAGCTGCTTTTGCAAAAGTACACAATAAAGCAAATGTTTTGCACTCCAGTTCTCTATTATCTCCAAGAAAAAGCTACTCCTGGAATTCTGAATGGAAGAATTCCATTTATGCTATTAGCTAAAAAGGTTCTTATTTGTCCATCTCCTGTTGCTTTAATTGGAATATAAAGTAACTTCATGAGGAGTGAATCAGTATTGTTTTGAGGAAGCAGCAAATATGCAAGAATCAGGCTTCCCTGAGCCCCCTTTGCCCGTCATCCACATTTTCTCAGCTCTTGGGCTTCCTATGGCCTTACACCCACTGGACCAGGTCCCCTGTCATACAGATCTGAACTGGACAACTATCACTCTTTTCCTTGTTTGCCCAAGAGGACAGAGCCAAACTTTACGATAGAAATAAATAATAACTCCCCTATTCATTCAGTAGGCTCTCAAATGTAAGAAAATAATAGCCATAAATGTTTTCATCTACGTAACTCCCGTCTTCTGCTCTCCACACATTCCGTTGTTGATGCAGTGTCCTTGCTGGTGATAAGCATTTGTATACTGCTGATCTAGTTAATAATTGACAAGATTTATTTACAGTTTCTGCTTGTCTGCATCTTGAATTCTGCAATATACAGGCAAATTTTCCTTTAAGCTAAACACTTGTGCTGATCTGCCCAAGTGCTGTGCAGATCCACTGTAGTATTTAGACCACTTCACCTGTGCTTTTAGTTAAGAGTGGGCTCAGGAGACTCCATTGTATTATAAGTAGAATTAACCCGACAAGTGCTATCAGGTGAATGTTTACATTCCCATGCAGATAGAGAATTCCTTATTCTGTTCAGTAAATTCCTCTTTTGGTTCTTCACAGAGTGAATGAAGGGTGCTAACCTAACATTTCCAAAGTATTCTGGCAAATTCAAGTCTGCAGCTCTTGTTTTCGTGTATTTATGATGGATGAACACAGAGTTACTGTTCTCCCAGTTACTGTTTTAATCACCTTCCAAAGTCTTTTGTGCCTGCTTTGCTTATGTTACTTAGGCACTCTCTTCCCCTGTTCATTTTCTCTCATGGTTGGAATCCTTCAGTTGGTAAATGGGAAATAACCATGACATACCTAGACATGACACACCTAGACTGTAGATGATGGAATTGTAAACGTTGCCTAGAAGGCCAGTGCTGTGCCATTGGAGACTGTCCCCAGAAAGACAGAATCTTCTCAACGAGACCTGTGTGGTCTCAGCTTAGAAATGAGCCAAAACTGTCTTCCAATCAATGACATATACTTGTGCCCGACTTCTCCCTCAGCCTGTTGAAAGTTCAGATTACTAAAAGAACAAATGCAAGAATCAAGCAGTCATTAGAATGCCATCATGTTGCTTGATTTGTAAATATTTTGGTGTCCTGTATTAGAACAGTATGAAAATCAGCAGGAGAGTTGGGTTCCTGCCTTAGTTCATGAGCTGTGGGTACATCTCTGGGAGCTTGTAGCACCCTGAAAGCGCAGCTGCCATGTAAAGCTCTTGTGCTCCTCAAACCATAGACAGATGTTTAATGTAAGTGATACAATGACCTTCAGTATTTTTCTATTGAACAAGTTTAGCAATTTTTGCCATTAAACAAATAATTAGTTATGCAAAGTATTTAGCTTTTATAATCATTTTAGTATGACTCAATGGGGGAAATGGAGCAGCATCGCTGATAATGAACTTTGTGAAAATTTTTGTTTCTCTTTCATTCCTTCAGTATTCTTGCTATAAATTTCTTTTGGAGATAATTATGAAGATTTATTTGAAAATGTCTAAAATGTATGTATATTTTATAAATATATATTATATATATTGTATAAATATATATAATATATATAGACTATATATATAAATATATAAAAAGGAAGCATAGGTGCATTTTACTGTTTTGTATTTTCATTTTTGGAGGTAGTGTACACAGTGGATAATGATGAGTATGATGAGTGTTGTACTGTTTGCTTTTGCAGTATAATATATAGTTATAAAATGTTTAAATTACTGTATATAGTATATTCATTATAGGCTAGCATGCTTGTTTTAAAGACTGTCATTCTAGTTTATTAAAATCTGATTGTAAGAAAACCTGGCTATTCAAATGTGAATTGAAAAATATTCCATTCTCAGTACTCAACTATTTCCATTGAACATTCAGGCTTTTTAAAAGAACAAATACCATTAAAAGGCAATAGCTAGAGAATGAGAGGTGCCTTTAAAAATAAACAAACGCAGCCTTACAGTGAGGATGAGGTTTGAGTTTGTGTGGCAGCTGGGCAGGAGTGAGAAAGAGTGAGAGTGTGTGTGGATGGTGTGTGTTTGCCAACTTGTGAAGGTCTTGATTTGTGACCATCAGTGTCTTTTTTAATGTATCTGCTCAACTTCTAGGACTTCAGGGGACATTTCATGTGCTGTCTTTGTGCTCTTCTGAGCATTCCATAACACTTTCAAGAATTTTGAATGTGAATTCCTAGAAATTGTAGTTGTTGTTGTTGTTGTTGTTGTGTACCGTTGACTCGGAACCGACCCATAGCTGATCCTTCGGCGGGTTTTCAGAGGCAGTTAATAACACGGGAGGAGATTGCCCATTCTTCTCCCATGGAGCAGCTGGTGGCCTCGAACTGCGTGCCTTTAGGATTGCAGCGCAGAGTGGGGAAAAACCATTCATGAAATAATTTTCAGCTAAAAGAAATTATTGGTTCACTAAAATTATGGGATCTCATTAACTGGACAAATACAATTTTCTAATGACCCACTTGTTTTTAGGATTTCATGTATATTTCTCCCTTACCCAAGAACATGTTATGAAATTCTTCTGTGATGAATATTCATCTAGTAAAAATTCTTTTTAGCATGAACACCTGAGCTAGTTGAAATTCCACCTTTGTAGTCTTAAGGTATTTAAATGGCATCTTTCATATCTACCTCTTTGTCATTGCTGCCATTTTAACAGAAGCAAATCTTTATGACATTTGAAATGATGGTTGGATGCAATTTTCAAAATCTATGTTGGTGCTTTACTCAGGCTTTCATCATCTGCATTTTATTGGACTAAGATGTCACAAATCAGATCAAAAGACTTGGAATTAATTCTGCTTTCCTTTGCAAAGAGTTGCTAAAATTCACTATGTTGATGATGGAGCTTTTTAATCTTTAATTAATTAGTTTTTCTGTGTGATGATTTCAAACAAGAGCCAAACTGTTATTTCATTTACATGGGAAAAAAGAGTTCTAGGTATAATTTTATCCAGCGCACTTTATTCTTTGAAAACTACTTCAAAATTAAGTTCATAGTCCTTTACTCAATGGTTGCCTCTGTTACTATGTGACTTGTTTGGTAATTTATGTAATTGGAGTACATTTAAGTGATTGACACTGGGAATCAGGCTGTACGAAAGTAATAGCTGACAAAATTTACATGTATATTTTCATGAAATGTATCAATTCCTAAATTCGTCCTGTAGAGAAAGGCCCAGAAAAGTTACGTATCTGTATTTAAAATCAAAGCCAGGTCATTGAGAAGTGGTAGGATTTTGCTTTGAGCACTAAAAGCCAGATCTTTCTATCCAGCCAATCTTCATGTGAGTGTACGGGATACCAGATTGACAAAATATTTACCAGATCCTTTGCATCAGTTCTTCCATTTTTTTAAAAATCTTTAAAAGTACAAATATTAAGCCAAACAGAGATCTCTAGATTCCACTCACAGTATTCCTGAAGTGGTGCTCAGGGGTCAGAACTTTCTCCATCTTTATTAGCAAGCTTTAGATCTTGTTTAACTGAAGCCACAAGCTTGTCATCCCTCTGATGCAAATTAGAAAGTACATTTTAATTTAGATTAACTCTAAATGTCTGCCTGGATTTTTAACAGGCTGTGAACCAGTGAGTGCCTTGTTAACGTAGAATGAGTTTTCCCTTGTTGTGTGTTAGCTCCTCTCTGAAAATGTCTCAGAGAATGGTATTTTAATTGACTTGTAGAGAGCTGCTAAAATTGGTATTATCAGCAATGAAAAAGTCTTGGTTCTATCACATATAACTTTCCTCCTTCCTCCTCACTTCTTCTCATTGTTTGATTGAAGTGTGTCTCATGTGAGAAAGCAATTATATTCCCCTTCCACCTTCTCCACATATACTTCTCCCCACCTCACTCCCTGACCAGATTAAGAGGTATCCCCTGTCCCCACCTCAACCCAGTTACATCATTTTGTAACCTGTTTTTAGGGAGGAAACCACTTCTTTGTAATATTGCGATCTTCTGGTTATTTTCTGCTGGTCTCAACTTTAGTTTTCTAGAGCTGACCTCAGGGCATCACCAGTTCACATTCCTCCAGGA